GTGTGTGTGTGTGTGTGTTTGTGTGTGTGTGTGTGTGCGTGCGTGCGTGCGTGCGTGCGTGCGTGCGTACGTACGTGCGTGCGTGTGTGTGTGTACCTTGTTATTAATAACAGTGTGTGTGTACCTTGTTATTAATAAGTGTATGTGTGTGTGTGTGTGTGTGTGTGTGTGTGTGTGTGTGTGTGTGTGTGTGTGTGTGTGTGTGTGTGTGTGTGTGTGTGTGTGTGTGTGTGTACCTTGTTATTAATAAGTGTGTGTGTGTACCTTGTCCGCGTCCTGCAGGCTCTCCAGCCGGCCCCTCATGCTCTGCTGCAGCTCCTCACTGAGTCGACTCAGATCACACACCTGCTGACTCAGAGCCTCCACCTGCAGGACCTCCGACAGCAGCTCCACCTGAGAAGCATCACAATGAGCCAAGGGGTCATTCTCTGATTAACACAGCTGATTTTAATAGTTGGTCGTTACACACCTTCTCAGCCATGGACTCCACGTCTCCGTGCAGCTCCCGGGACTCTCGAAGCACCGACTGAGGTGGGGACAAGATAAGAAAATATGAATAAAATGACATTCAACTTCATAAAAAATGTAATATGTGTATTCTTCTCACCTGGTACATGCGGATCTGCTCCTGCAGGTGAACGGAGGAGTTCCAGATGATGTTGGCTCTCTCCAGACTTCTGGATTTCTCCGACCACCGCACGATGAAATCCAGCATCTCGTTGTATTCGTCCAGATAACACACAGCCTGAGGAGAGGAAACACAGAGGAAGAAGGGATGAATCACTCCATGTTGTAAGAATAAGAGACGTGCCTTTTTGATCCAGTTGTGGATTTTTTGATTATTTTTCTGAATTCTTTTTTTGCCGAATTTTTACTTTTTTCTGAATTTTGACTTTTTTAAAGAATTTCATGTATTTATGTATTTTGACTGTCTTTCTAACAATTTTGCCTGAATTTTATCTTCTTTTTCTGAATTTTGACTTTCTTCGCACAGAGGAAGAAGGTACACATTCCTACACACTGTGATCAAACGTACCTTCTTGATCCAGTTGTGCCGGCAGTCGGCGAGTCTTGACGTCTGACGGTGGGTTTCTGACAGTTTGCTGATGTTGTCGCTCAGCTGTTTGGCCAGAAGGGGGTTCCTGCGCCCGAAATCCTGAACAGCTGATTCCAGATCAGAGAGGGAGCGCCCGCAGGAGTCCAGCTCCTCCACCACACTCTGAGGAAACATACTAACATATTAGTCTGACTGCAGGAGTCCGGCTCATCCTCAGAATCTTTACTGATTTTTCGAAAATCTGACTTTTTTCTAATAATTTAATTTTTCTCTAAGAATTAATTGTTTTTCTAAGAATTTCATTTTTTTCTCAGAACTTTATTTTAGAAAGCACATCAATAGATAGTGAGCCTTCAGTATCTCTCAGCCCTGCAGGACCCCGTTGACCCACCTTGACCTCTTCCTTGACCTCCTCCTCACCTTGACCTCCTCTTTACCTGACCTCCTCTTTACCTTGACCTCCTGCTCACCTTGACCTCCTCTTTACCTGACCTCCTCTTTACCTTGACCTCCTCCTCACCTTAGCCTCCTCCTCACCTTGACCTCCTGCTCACCTTAGCCTCCTCCTCACCTTGACCTCCTCCTCACCTTGACCTCCTCCTCACCTTAGCCTCCTCCTCACCTTGACCTCCTCCTCACCTTGACCTCCTCCTTCACCTCCTCCTCACCTTGACCTCCTCTTTACCTTGACCTCCTCCTCACCTTAGCCTCCTCCTCACCTTGACCTCCTCCTCACCTTGACCTCCTCTTTACCTTAACCTCCTCCTCACCTTAGCCTCCTCCTCACCTTGACCTCCTCCTCACCTTGACCTCCTCCTCACCTTGACCTCCTCCTCACCTTGACCTCCTGCTCACCTTAGCCTCCTCCTTGGCGTGCTCCACGTCTGGAGACTTGTCCTTCAGTTTAGCAGAGACAGCCTTCAGCCTCTCTGAGATGTCGTGGATTCTGCAGCTGAAATCCTCTTTTATCTCCCGGGTCTTCTGGATCTCTCTCTCCCTCGAAAGCACCTGGAGAACACACACACACACACACACACACACACACACACACACACACACACACACACACACACACCCAGTTAAACATGAACGTGTGTGTGAGGTGCACAGGCTTCACATGTCTCAGGTTCCTGCTGGAGTTCAACGTAAACTTGAACTTTCTAAGAATTTAGACTTTTTTTCTCAGAAATGTTGATTTTTTTTCTGAATATGAACTTTCTTCTCAGAATTTTCTTTTTTTCTGAATACATTTCCACTTTTTCTGACTTTAAACTTTTTTCTCAACATTTTAATTTTTTCAGAATTTTTCTCAGAATTTCATTTATTTATGAATTTTGATTGTTTCTAAAAAAATTCTCTAAATGTTGACTTTTTCTAAGAAATGTCGGCTTTTATTACCTGAATTTAGAATGTTGATATCAGAATTTCATTTATTTATGAATTTTGATTGTTTCTAAAAAAAAACCTAAATGTTGACTTTCTAAGAAATGCCAACTTTTATTACCTGAATTTAGAATGTTGATATCAGAATTGCATTTTTTTCTGAATTTTGTTTCTGAATTTTGACCTCTTTCTCAGAGATCTTTTTTTTTCTGAATTTTGACTTTTTCATCTGAGTTTAATTGTTTTTGAACTTTTTACTTATATTTTTTCTTAATACTTTTTTATAAGAATTGCATTTGTCTCTGAATTTTGACTTTTTCTCAGAATATTGACTAAGAATTTCATTTATTTCAGATATTTGACTTTTTTTCGAAGTATGTTGTCTGAATTTTGACTTGATATGAAATAAGGGAACGAGACATGCTGCAGGGAATGAGAACCTGTACCTGGTCCTCGATGGCCCCCAGAGCCAGGGAGACCTCTGCCAGCTGCATGGAGATCTCTGAGGGCAGGATGGTGTACAGATCCAGGTATTTACTCTGCTGCTGCTCCGCCAGCTTCTCCACGCTGTGGCGGAACGACATCACCTCCCCGTGCACCACCTGCAGAACCAACACTTTAAACACTCACACATATACACTATACATCTAACACTTTAAACACTCACACATATACACTATACATCTAACACTTTAAACACTCACACATATACACTATACATCTAACACTTTAAACACTCACACATATACACTATACATCTAACACTTTAAACACTCACACATATACACTATACATCTAACACTTTAAACACTCACACATATACACTATACATCTAACACTTTAAACACTCACACATATACACTATACATCTAACACTTTAAACACTCACACATATACACTATACATCTAACACTTTAAACACTCACACATATACACTATACATCTAACACTTTAAACACTCACACATATACACTATACATCTAACACTTTAAACACTCACACATATACACTATACATCTAACACTTTAAACACTCACACATATACACTATACATCTAACACTTTAAACACTCACACATATACACTATACATCTAACACTTTAAACACTCACACATATACACTATACATCTAACACTTTAAACACTCACACATATACACTATACATCTAACACTTTAAACACTCACACATATACACTATACATCTAACACTTTAAACAC